AGTTGTTTCCTTTTTGAATATGAATAAAAACTAATAATAAAATAGCTCCTGGTTACTGAGGTGGAACAGCGGCCCAATGTAACGTTTAGGTTTCAGCACAGCTTGGTGAAAATGTGCGATTGTCTCGTCACAATGTCTCGTGTCATGGAAGGCAAACAAATTAAAGTCCCACTTCAACTTTTCATCACTACATCCAAAAGGAACGTTTAAACACTTTCTGTTTTCCATGAACAACACGTGAGTTTGTTCTGATGAAACTGATTCACTTCATTTATACTAAACTTTAGTGTGAAGGAGCATGTAGTTTAACAAAAAGTCTGCTAGGATCACCTCTGTACAAATCATCCATCCATCCATTTTCTTCCTCTTATCTGAGGTTGGGTCTCGGGGGCTGCAGCCTAAGCAGAGAGACCCAGACCTCCTTCTCCCCGGCCACTTGGGTCAGCTCCTCTGGGGGAATCCCAAGGTGTTCCCAGGCCAGCTGAAAGACATAGTCCCTGCAGCGTGTCCTGGGTCTTCCTCTGGGTCTCCTCCCAGTGGGACGTGCCCGGAACACCTCACCAGGGAGGAGTCCAGGAGGCATCCTAACCAAATGAACCACCTCAACTGGCTCCTCTGGACGTGGAGGAGCAGCAGTGGCTCTACTCTAATCCCCTCCCAGATGACAGAGCTTCTCATCCTATCTCTGAGGGAGAGCCCAGACACCCTGCAGAGGAAACTCATTTTCACCGCTTGTATCCGCAATCTTGTTCTTTCGGTCACTACCCAAAGTTCGTGACCATAGATGAGGGTAGAAACGTAGACCGACTCTGTCTTTTGGCTCAACTCTCGTTTCACCATGACAGACCAGTACAGCGTCTGCATCACTGCAGATGCAGCACCAATTTGCCCATTGATCTCCTGCTCCATTCTTCCCTCATTTGTGAACAAGACCCCAAGATACTTAAACTCCTCCACTTGGGGCAGGACCACCTCCCCGACCTGGAGAAGGCACCGTACCCTTTTCCAGCTCAAGACCATGGTCTCGGATTTGGAGGCACTGATCCTCATCCCGGCCGCTTTACACTCTGCTGTGAACCGCTCCAGTGAGAGCTGGAGATCAGGATCTGATGAAGCCAACAGGACCACATCATCCACAAAAAGCAGAGATGTGATCCTAAGGTCACCAAAAAGGATCCCCTCAACACCTTGGCTGCACCTAGAAATTCTGTCCATAAAAGTTATGAGCAGAATCGGTGACAAAGGGCAACCTTGGCGGAGTCCAACTCTCACTGGAAATGACTTACCAGAGATGTGCACAAGTCTTTTTTTGCAAGTCCAAGTCAAGTCTCAAGTCTTTAGGGTCCGAGTCAAGTCTAAGTCTGTAATAGTAGGGACTTAAGTGCGACTCAAGTCCGAGTCACGAGTCCCAATCTCTGCGACTTACTACCGGCAATTTGGATTAAACTCTGGCACCGGTCATACAGGGACCTAACAGTCCACATCAATGGGCCTGGTACCCCATACTCCCAGAGTACCCCCCACAGGACTCCGCGAGGGACATGGTCAAATGCCTTCTCCAAGTCCACAAAACACATTCAGACTGGTAGTGTGAACTCCCACGCACCCTCCAGGACCCTGCTGAGGGTGTAGAGCTGGTCCAGTGTTCCACGACCATGACGAAAACCACACTGCTCTTCCTGAATCCGAGATTTGACTATCTGATGGACCCTCCTCTCCAGGACCCCTGAATAGACCTTACCAGGGAGGCTCAGCAGTGTGATCCCCCTATAGTTGAAACACATTCTACGGTCCCTCTTTTTAAATAAGGGGACCACCACCCCAGTCTGCCAGTCCAGGGTAACTGCCCCTGATGTCCATGCGATATTGTAGAGTCACGTCAACCAACGCAACCCACAGGCCAAATAGATAGGCCTCCTTCTTCAGCCTGACACCAACCCTCAATGCCGGTGTCCACCAGCGTGTTCGAGGGTTGCTGCCACAACAGCACAGACAACCTTACAGCCACATCTCCACTAAGCCGCTTTGACAATAGAGGCATGGAACATGGCCCACTCTGACTTAATGTCCTCCACCTCCCTCATGTAGTTTAACAAAAAGACTACCTGGTTCACCTCCGTACAAACCTTATAGAAGATGATAATAAACTAAAGCCAGTGTTTTATCTCGAGTTGTAATTATCACTGATGTAACCTGATTATTGGGTTTGATCAGAGTAAAGCACCACTTTTTTCTGAAGGAATTTTTTAACGTAACATGTTGAGACCTGACTTCAATTTGGAAATTTCTCAATTATAGCAAATAATTATTACAGTAATGAAGTTTATCATCACATTATAATAATAAATCTCCTAACAAATCAGTTCAAGCCATATAGTTTTTATTTGTTCCTAATAAATATACAGTAGAATTACATCCTAACATGTTTTCACTTCAAACAAGTTTTTCTTTTCTTTTCTTAAATTTAAAATCAAACTTCCACATTTATGTAGTTGTATTGACTTTGTTCCTACGCAGTATGGAAACGTTTAACACTGTTTGTGTATTTTTCATGTCTAGAAAAATATGTAGGAATATTTAAGTCTCCAGACTATTGCATTTTCTGACAATCAGTTCTTCTATGTAAAAAGGTAAAGTCACCACAGTTTATTATTGGTTCAAACACCACTGGAGCTGCCATCTTTCATAAAGTCAAACAGGAACAGTCTATCTGATGCAAACTAATTAGTTTGTACCCCCGGTGGTCCCTGAAATGACTTCAAACTGACACAAATAAGAAAAAAAATTAAAAAAACACAAAAAAAAAACCCCACATAATTTCTCATGAACCACTGGAAAAACTTCTATCAAATTCTCAAAGTTATCATTACAACTGATTAACTTTTTTAGTCACCCTAATTCAAGATGGCTTTCACAGCTATTTGACCTTATCCAACACAAAAATGGCTACAACTCAGTCAGTTTGACAGATTAGATCTGGTCTGGTAATAGCTGAGAGTCATCCTCAACGGATACTCAGAGCGCTAACACGTCTCATGAGATCTTGCAGCATCACGTGAGGTTTCACATCCCATCATTAAAAAAGGTTAGACCAAAACAGCTACTTATTTCACTCAGTAAAATGATTTAATTTTAAAACTTGGGCATGAAACTCTGGCTAGCGACATGCACTCCTAAACTTGACTTTGTGGGGGAAAAAAAAATAAAACTGACCTTGAAGTCAAAAAACAAAGAGTTGAAATCTGTTTGTATAAAGTGAAAGCACTGATAGATGTAAACTCTCAGGGTTTACAGGAGTATCATCAATAAACTATAAGAGTTTTGGTGAGTACAGTGTGCCCCCCCCAACCCCCCCCCCTGTCCCCTCATAGAGCTTTAACTGGTCTAACCTAACATCACTGACCCAAACTAGTGTACTTTTTTAAACTAACACACATCAGGTTCATCAGGTTTTTTTCTTTCTACCTGAGAAGTTCTGTTTGTATTTAAAATGCTCAATAACTCCTTTGATATCGGCACAAAATAACAAATAGATTCCCGGATTAATTTCTGGTTTTAAAATCACTCCCTCTTTTGTTTAAAGTGCTTCTGCTTCATTAGAACCACAGTGGAGTTCTGTTTATTAACACTGCTGCAGGATTTTGCTGTGATAAGGTCTCTAGTATTTGTGTCCAATGTTTAGACTATGTTCACTTGTCAGTGGGTTTAAGTGTTACAGCTTCGTTTACTCTACGTTTCAACATGAGAAACTTTAGTGTTTTGCTGATTATATATTTGGCCTCATTATTTCCACACATACTACGAATTTGTTTTTGCTGTTCCAACACTGTGAACATGTTTCTGTTTCGTCCCGCTGCAGATGATGAACTATCCAAACCCAGAGTGCCTACATCATACGAGTGAGTCAAATGTTCAAATAGTCTTTATAACTCAAGGTTAAATGACCGTTGTTGTCTTGGTTCCTGCAGCCTCTATGAGATTTAAATTAACTGCATGTTCCAACTTTTTCTTTCCGTCACCACATGTCAGACTGACCAACAACGATCTCCTGTCTCTGGATCCACTCGGCCCAGCTCTGCCTGTCGGATCTGCCTCCTCTGTGTCCTCAGCGGCAGGTAAACTCAGATCCTAAAACTGTCAGGTGGTTTCTGTTCAATGGGCATTCTCTCCTCTCTTTTGTACAATATCCCATTAAAAATCAGCTCATCACCAGAAAGGTAACTGTTTGTTTAGTTTAGGCAGTGGTGGGCACCAGTCCGCTAAAGTGCAAATCCGCTAATTGCGGACCTAAATATTTCATTTGCGCTTTAGCTGTCTTACTAATTTTTATAATTCATAAGCGGATTTGCGCTTTCTAAAATTAAAATTCAGTACCGCTAATAACTAATTATCTACCAGTCATCATTATGTTGAACAGCAGAAGGTATGACTGTCAATGAATCACAACATGTGATCTATCCAACAGCACCCCTCCCAGATAAACACACTTATTGTGAAGGTATACATCCTGCTGACTGTTGCTTTCAATCATGGTTCTCATTTCCCACAATGCTTTGTGTCTGCTTACGTAGCAGGAAGGCAATGTTTAGAACTCCCTGTCCCAGCAAAAACAGTAAACGTTTGTAATCCATACTAAAATTTTGTATGTATTGATTTATTTTACTTTACAATCGGAGCTCCTTTAAAAAAAAAAAAAAAGAATAAAGTTTAAACGCTGGAGCTCAATACTTGACGTAATTGGTCGAAGCAATCGGCCAACGGGGTTAGAGACGCAGAAATGATTTAAAGATGTTATGCTGAAGAAGACAGACATCTAGTGGTCAACTGGAGCAACTACATGGAAAACTTTAAAATCCAAGCTCTTATTTTGAACTGAAGATAGTTTCCTGAACTCCGTGCTTTCGTTTCCCGTCACAAATCAAATCCGTCATGTACCCAGAATGCATCGCTTCAGTTTCCAATAAACAGTTTTAAAATTACTTTATTGATGCTTCTTTAATGAAAAATCTACAACAAACGAAAGAAAAAGACAAAGAATCAGCCGAACTAGCAATCCTCAACAACTTTTTAATTTTTACACCAGGAGCTGAAGGTCTGTTTCAGGAAATCACATCCCCAGCAATCAGCGATTGTAGGATTAAGCTGTACAAGGGTTCATACACCACTAGTTGGCAGTGTTGTACAGATATTGTACATGAATTATTGTCAGCTAGTAAGTGTCAAATTGAACTTGCGTTTTTAAAATTAGCTTCCAATAGTTTTTCTATGGCATAAGCGCTTTTGAGGTTGCGGACCTAAATATTTACATAAGTGCTTTAGAAATTGCGGAGCTAATTTTTGGATTAGTGCTGCCCACCACTGAGTTTAGGTCAGTTCAAACCACTCCAGGTACTTAAAAAAACACAATCTTTTCTCCAGTCATCACACAAACAGATTTTAAACTCACTTTTTGGTGTTTAGGTGAACTTATAGTAGTCGTCAGAAATGAACAGTAGCAGCTTGTTTGTGCTCACAGTCACTTCCTGCTCCTGAAATGAAAGCAAACACTGGACGGTTTGTGTTTCTCTGTATTCGTCTCACTTTGTCCAGATTTCTGTCGCAAATAAACCTTGATCGTGTTCTGAAGAGTTTAATAAGTGGAAACCCGAAACAATAAAGACGAGTTGTTTTGGTCTTAAATACTGTTGATGTAAAGACCAGGAAACACTTCTCTGTCTTATGACTTCGGTGCAGAAACTGAAGTTTTGTTGCTCAATGATGTGTCAATGCACACTATCAGCTTTTCAAAATACAAAACAGCCAGTTGTTTATCAAATACTGTTTAAAATGTCTCCAAATGTAGATCTATGGCTTTAATGTAGAAGTTGTTGTCCTCTACTTCTGGTTAATCTTCTAAAATGTGTGATTAGAAGCAACAATCGTAAACTAATAAAAAGTTATTAAAATGATGTAGATGAGCTTTATTTGAACTATAATATATTTTGCACTGCTTAATGTCTTAAAAGGAATGCAAAAGTAATTTCAGACGTTTTCTTTTAACTTTATTTTTATCCGTTTCTTTAAACTGGAGTGAATTAATTTCTGCTATACAACAACATTAATG